CCATTGAGACTCAGAAAAAAAGAAATCATTGAGGACCAACCAGGCGTACTTTGTAATGATGAACTGTTGAGTGATGGAACAGAGATTAAAGGGCAGAAGTAATTGGAAAAGTGGAGGCAGCTGGGTTGATTGTTGAGTTTAAACAGGTGAGTGTGTCTGGCTGAGCAGAACTGACAGTTAACTGAGGGCAAATGAATAATGGCACAAATAAAGACAGGGAAAGATATACAAAAATTATGTAAAACTCAAAAATCACAAGATAAAGAGGAGACAGAAAGGAAACTAAACCTGATCTTAAACAAGCCATTTAAACAAAGCAATATACAGATCATGACACTGTTTAAAAATCCTTAAAACTGCATCATTTCACCCTGGAAAGAACCTTTAAGAACCTGACTTTTTCTCTCATCATTGAATATCAGATTTGTATTCACATTTGATTGGTCAAAGAGAGTTACTTTTGTGAACCAAGATTATTTTTCATTTTTTTATTCACATAAACAAAGTCTCTCTTACTGTAAAGTTTTGAATTACCTGATTATATTACCCTCTAAGACACTGCACTTATTATATTACAGTAATTCTGTCACCTGGGCTGTTATGTTTATTATAAACCCTCCTGAGATTAAGGTTTCTAACAGTCACTGTTTAAACAGCRCCTTACAAATAAAGCAGCTGTGTTTGTTTTTCCTTCACAGGAAGAATTTCAGAGTCCCCGGCTCATTTTATTGCTTTGACGGTGCTGTTTTTCTTTATGGGTGCTCGTCATTTAGATTTTACACATAACCATTTCATTCCTTCTCTGTTGTGAACACGTCACCCTGTCTCTTTCCTGTACAGAGTTTTGTAACATTTTATTTTATTTACTTTAATTTGTYAAATGAGAAAATTCCAGGACAGACAGGTTGACAGCAAACTCTGGAGTTTTTCACCTGCATGCACTGGATTCCTGTGGGCGGAATGTGAAAAAAAAGTGCTGGAAATGAAGTCACTCTGAGAAAAAAAAAAACTTCTTCCTTGTTGAGCAACACAGAGCTCACTTCCTCTTCCCCATAATGTGACACCTTTCTCTTTTTTTTCTGCCTGGTGAATCACCATTGTATTAATATTGCATAATGTAAAGCGGGCATGACAACTTGCAGGGGAGGAAGTATGCAGGAAGTTGTGGATCTCCAAAGA